ATATTTTGTATATAAATAATGTCTTATTTTGTAGAATCTTTAGCATTCCGCTGATATGTTTTGAGTTCATGGTTGATTTTTCATCTTCTTTTGATATGTTACGTTTGACTAATTATATATATATACGATAAACATATATATATGGATATACTTAAGGTTGAGTAGCTCCGATATGTTTGCGATTTAGCTATGTATAATTGATATATTAAATTAGTTTATTCTTTTTCTTTTCTGCACACTTTTAAATCAGCCGACAGTTTTTTTTCTTTTCTAAATAAATTTTTTAGTTTTTTGAAATAAATTTCAAATTAATTTGCATTTTGTTTAACGCTTAGTTTCTATAAAATCACATTTAGTTGCTTAAATAAATTTATCCATACACACTCTATCTCTCTCACGCACACATGCATACGCTTCAGCTCTCTACAGCTTTCTCTCTCTCTCTCTCGCTCTTTCCGTTTTTGTCTCGCCCTTGGACAGCTCCCATACATCATGTAGATATTGCTTTAATATATTATTTTTTCCATTTCCAATGCATTTTCATGCTTTGCTGCGTCTCATTCCCTCACACTTTCTGCCTGTCACTCTCTCTCTCTCTCTCTGTTTGCGCTGCTGAAAATCTGCGTTTGGTGCTTCTTTTTTTTTCGCATAAAGCATTTTCGTGGGCGCCAAAGTTCGCATAATTGAACTGTCAGCCTGGTTGGCATGCAGCCAGACAGAGACGCAGAGAGACAGAGAGGAAGAGGCGAGCGAGAGGGAAGGATGCTGCCCTGCTGCGTGTCCCAGCTACTGCACGCACAGTATATATATATACATATATATTTTTTTTTTTGCTGTATTTCTTTTTTGGTTTATAATTAAAGTGCAGTCCGGAAAATGTTGTTTGGTGTTTCCCATTTCAATTTCCATTTCCATTTCGTTTCAGTCCATGTTTCTCGCTATTCAGTTACTCCTCCGGCCAGCCAAGATCCTCGCCAACCAGCTCATAGAACCGCTGATTGTATTCGGCAAAGAATTTGCGTAAACGCGACACCACCACCGGATTCACATGCGGATGCTTGCGTCCCTTGGTCTCGCGCAGGCAACGATCGCCATTATCGTAGCGCAGGCAGTAGAAACCCTTTGTCTCATTGAAATAGAAGTGTTCGCTGCGCACGCGATGCTCAATGCCTGCAAAGATCATAGAAAGTATATATAGTATATATGACTAAACATATGTGGATAATTGTAGTTACCTAGAAATGCCTCGATGCGCTTCAGCTGAGAGAGCGGATCCTCGATCAAACGATCGCCATTGACCACCAGCAGCTGCTCGCGCGGAAACACCTCCAGCCAGCGATGCAAGTGCACATGATACATGGAGATGCTCAGGGGACGATAGGCCTCGTTGACAGTGCCATTCGGGAATATGGCCAGCTCCTCAAAGGATCTAAGCGGAATACAAAATAAAACAATTAACAGTATAAAACATATTAAAGTCATCTTTCCCTCTCTCTCTCTCTCTCTCTCTCTACTTACTTTGCCGCCAACTGCGCTGCACTGGGCGTGGTGGTGGGCGTGCTCATTGTTGTTGCAGCCCCTGGAGCCGCACGTCTTTTAGCTCCGCTTGCTGTTCTCAGCTTGGTTTCCTTGGCGCCTGCACCGCTGCCCAGGGCATTGTCATAGGGGCCATGGGCCGACTGCAGTTTGGCATAGAGCGAGGCTCCAGCCGTAGGCGGCATCTTGGCACCGTAGCCCGAGCCAGGTGCATTGCTCTCTGCTAGCGGCAATATCGCTGTGGCCGCATGACTACGCAACTGCGTGTAGTCCGAGATGGCTCGGGTCACCGGCTCACGGACAATCAAGAGCAATTTGATGCTAGCATTCATGGCACGCACACGTTCTGGCACCTGTAAAATACCAGAGAGAAAAAAATATATTAATACTCCAATTGCTGATACTTTAAGCTTAATACTTATATCTATACTCTATATATACATATATTGTATATTTTATATATCTATATATCGCGCATAATGCCAAGTTATGTTGGGGAGCAGTTAAGCGACTAATGAATTTACAGGCAGCCAACAGCCTCCACTCTGTGCGCCGAGAACAATAAAACTTAAACGGAAAACATGGCCGAAGCATATCGTCGTCGATGCCACAGCGCTGGCATTGAGGCGCTCAGCTATATGCACGAATATATTATACATACAATATTGATAGACATATGCAATACCCTAGAGTAAAAAGCTTTAATAAACAGTGAGAAAATCATTAAAGTCAGTCCAGTAAATTAGTAGTAAAATAGTAGTAGAATAGTAGCAGAATAGTAGTTAAGTTGTGGTAGTAAAAGATTAGTAGTAGTAGAGTAGTAATAGTAGTCGATTAGTAGTAGTACAGTGATAGTAGTAGTAGAATAGCAATACAGTAGTAGTACTAGTAGTAGAATAGTAGTACAGCAGTAGTCGATAAGTAGTACAGCAGAAGCCAATTAGTAGTAAAGTAGTAGTAGAATAGTAGTAGAGTAGTAGTAGAGTAGTAGTAGAATAGTAGTAGAGTAGTAGTAGAGTAGTAGTAGAGTAGTAGTAGAGTAGTAGTAGAGTAGTAGTAGAGTAGTAGATCCTAAGTTCTCTAGCTAATCGAGCATAGCCCACCAACTTAGCGCTATGTGTGCACAGGGTATTAATTAAATAGCCAACGAGCCAAGCTAAATAAAGTTAATCAATTTCAATGTGGGGGGTAGGGGGCGCCGTTGTGGTGGAGGAGCTGTTGTTGTCCATGAAGTATGCAACAAGTGCAAGCGACGTGAAAAATTTCATCTAGATGAACCAGAAAAACCGACCGCATCGGCCTTTTGTTGAAACTCTGCCAACACACACACACAAAAGGAACAAACGGCTATATAAACTATATGCATATACAAATAAATATTTGTATACATGTATAAATATATAAATATATATGTATATGTGTGTGTGTGTGTTTGTCTGTATGCATGCAATTTATAAAGTAGCCCGGGTAAATGTAAATATTAGCGCTTTCATGTCTGCACAACTCCAGCTCGACTCGCTGACTGCCTACCTGCCCTACCTCTTACTACTCCTCATCCTGCCTGCCTCACTCACTCTCTCTCCCTTTTTCACTCTCTCCCGTGCTGTTTGAAAGCGCAAGCACACCGTTGGGATCTGCATTATTTATGGACGCGTGGCTAATTTTATACTGCAAGTGCGACGAGTAACTTTAAATTTAAATAAAATACAATTATCTAGAGCGAGAGCGAGAGAGAGGGATTGAAAGAGAGAGAGAGAGAGAAAGAGAGAGCGTGCTTGGACACCGCATCATTCTCAAAGGACAGCTAACAGTCAGATTATGTTTCACTCTATATATCTCTCTATCAGCTTCTCTCCCTCTCTCGCTATCGAGCCCCCCGAGCGTATGCCAATAAATATTAATCATGACATTAATGAAGATTTAACAAATGGAACGGAATGGAATGGAACATAGAATGAGCTTATACACAAGAACAGTTGCAAACTGCCAACTGTAAACTGCAAGCCAGCTGCAAATTGAAAGCATAAACTGAATGAATTATTGCATTGCCATGACACCAGCCAAATCCCAGTTTCCCAGCAACGGCACCCACCCAACGCCAACCACCCACCCGTCGGTTGCCCCCGCTCTCCCAGCTGAAGGCTTCAATTTCACTGACACATGGAACATCCGGCTCGACCAGCAAATTGCATCAGCATCAACATCAACTGCAACGGCGGCAGCAGCGGCAGCAAAAACAGCAGGAGCAGCAGGAACAGCAGGAACAGCAGGAGCAGCAACAGAGGCACTCTGCGGGCAACAGGCAGCAACAGGAATAAAAAATGCTGTTCCAAGAAGAAAGGTAAAGACTGGTTTGCGTGAAACTATGCGGCAAACAGTTATCCTGGACAGAAAATAAAGTTCTTATGAATTTTTAATGCTCTTTACTTATTGAACACAGTCTGTATTACATAAATAGATTTTGATATTGAGATAGGATATAGGATATAGGAGGTAGGAGATAGGAGAGAGGAGATATGAGATAGGAGATAGGAGATAGGAAATTGGAGATAGGACATAGAATATCGAAAATGGGAAATATAAGATGGCCCATGTTATATAGGGGATAGGAGATGGAAGAGAGTTAGCAGATAAAAGGAAATAAAATATAGACAACTGTAGATAAAAGATATAGTTTACTACATTTACGACCACTAATATACTCTCTATAAACTTACTATATACCCTATTAGAATATAATCAACTCTTGTCCTATTAAACTCTCGTGTGGAATAATTAAATATTCACACCATAAAATTGTTTGATTGTTGGCTGAAAATTAAAAGCTTAAAAGGTTAACTAACTCTTGACACCCATTTGGCAGCTGTGCAGGGTATTGGAAACAATATTAAAACAGACTGCAGTTCGAAAACCACCTGAACCAGTTAGTGGGCGTATGGCCATCGTGGGCGGGGCACGATGTGTGTTAGATGACGCCGTTTGGCAAATGAATTTGCAAACATTTCCGCTGCCAAAATTGGTTGGATATGGACACGGACACGGACATGGACACGAGAGTGGAATACGGAAATTGGCAAAGAGACAAGCTGCAGAGAAAGTGTGTGAGAGAGAGAGAAAGAGAGAGAGAGAGGGTAGCAGAGAGGGCAGCTGAACATTGACTGCGTTTCGCTTTAATTTGATAAATGTCGATGCAATCTGTGGCTCCCAGAGACTAAATATATACATACATATATACCTATATATATGTATATATCTATATCTATATCTATCTAGGTATAGATGCTTTGCATGTCCTCTAGTCAGTGGCGTGGCCAGTTAATTAATAATTAGGGTCGGTCATGTGCAGCGGACGGGCCTAATTGCCAATTACGACATCAAAGCGAGTGCAAAAATGTTTCCACTCACCTCCGGTGAGACAAAGTAGCTGGGACTCTTCTCGATGGTGATTTGGCCTCGAAACGAGTGGGGCATCTTCTTGCGATACCATTCCAGGCCCCTCAGATAGTTCTCATCGCGGTCGAAGAAGTGCACCTCGCCGCCCGCCTTCTGGATGCGCGGATGCAGATAGAGCATCTCGAGCAGGGCCCGAGTGCCGCACTTGCGTACGCCAATTATCAGGGCCTGTAATTGAAGTGCAAAATGCAAATTGCAGCAATTATCGGTGTTCGGGTAATTCGACAGACACTCAGTTGCAGACGCAGACGGGGCGCCTGGACATACCTGGGGCAGACGTCGACTGGTCTTGGGGAAGTGTACGCGGCTGGAGGGAAACACCATGGGATGACTCAGCTGATTCGAGCTGGCCACGGGCTTCACAAACACGGGCAAATGATTGGCATTCGATGCGGTATAGGCGGCGGCCGATGCCGATGCGGCCAGCGAGAGACGGTGCCGTTCGTGCACCGCCTGTGCTGCCTGTATGTTGTAGACGGCGCTGTCGTACAGCACGTGAAACGTGAGAAACAATGAGATCAGCATGACCGTTAGAAAGACAACGGCCAGCTTTGGACGGGAGACGCCAACGACCAGAATGCAGTCCGAATGCGAGGCATCGGCGCCAACGGGTCGCATCGCTGACTTGGGCAACCAGCTGGAAAAAGGAGTAGAGATTAAGAAAATTAGAAAGAAACGGAATAGATATATTAAAATGTAACTCTAAAGAGATAGCAAAAGAGATTGAGTAAATATATTTAGTAAGTAAGACCTAGTAGCTATGAGCTATAGTTCTCCGAATAGGGATATACTAAATACATATTGCTTGAAATGTAAGGGAACTTATCTAAATTATAAATATTTGGTATCTAAAAACATTTCTGATCTAGCTTAAATGCACTTCAGATTAGACTTGATAAGAAAAATGTTAAATCGTAGTTTATAGAAACGTAGGAAATAAAATATAGGGAATAGGGACGGAAAGGTAATTGTTACAGATGGATAAATGGGCGAACAAACAGACAGCTGTAGAAAAGGGGAAAGGGACGAACAGACGGAGAGTCGGACGGTCGAAGGAATGAACGAACAGACAGAGGGATGAACGGACGGAGAGATGAACGGATGGAAGGGCGAACGGAGGGACGATTGGACGGAAAAACAAATCAACAAATCTATATCTCACAACTCTTTCTGCCTTTTGCCCCCACTGCTTACATTTCCATTTTCAATTAGTTCAGGGAATAAAAAACTAACGCCCAATATAAAAGGCAAAAGTTTGGAAATACGATGACCATGATTCTATTGTTCAAACCGAAAAAAGTTGAGCACTGAGCTGAACTTTTGTTTGTTCACCTGAAAAATCTATAATATTGATTGACTTACTGAGATTCCCTTGGTTTTAGCAGCGAAATTCATGTGCTCGCTTATCCCAACAACAATTGCATTAATATTTAATAAAAAGGATTTTCATCATCATGTGTGTAGGGGCAAAACAACTGAGAGTTATATATAGGCTCGATTTACTCGAAAGAGATTTCATCTATATAATATTGGGATTTAAATAATTCACAATTCAGCGAAATGGAGTACTCAAATCATTAAATTAAGAGCAACTCTTCCTCGAAAGTTGTTTTACTTGTTTAGCATTGACAATCGAATGTCAAAGGGTTCGTTTAGGTTGATTTTCCGTTAGGTTTATTTATTTTTAGTTAATCGTTATTCGCGGTATTCGTAGCCTGCCTCGAGCTATCCATTTAAATGCCCCTTCCCCCCAGCGATTTGCAATGACTAAACACGAATTGTGGCGTCGATATGCAATTACAATTGAATATATATATCTGTGCTAATGGATCGCTGTGCCACCAGAAACTAACTGTAAAAGTATAGCCTCGCGGCACAATTAATCTAATGGACGACGCTCGCTTTCAATGGCAGACGCCTTGTCGCTAAGCTAATTAGATTCCCGCCTCAACAGCCGCTGAGTAATTAAAGTGCCGGCCCAAACGACACACTTACTCCTCCTACCTCCTGCCTCCTGTCCCTCTGCCCGTCAAAAGGTTCAACTCCGAGTGCCGATGACTCACTAAGTGCTAACCGAAAAACTGCTTACAGAAATTAGCAAGAGGTGACATCGCCCAGGTGTCTCAACTAGCTGCCAACTACCATCGGCCTGTAAGAAACTTCACACCAAATGCCGTTGCTGCTGTTGCTGCTGCTGCTGTTTCTGCTCCTGCTCCTCCTCCTGCTACTRCTGCTGTATCAAAAGGCTCGCTTGTCAGCGCTTAGGCGAATTCCATTATAAACGTTTCCGCTTAGACCACAGTAAAAACCCGACTCGCATTATGACTCCGCTGCCATACGTCGCGTATACGTAACGTGCGCTATGCTCGTCTAATGGATGACTTCATTTGCAGCTGCAGCAGCGGCGGCAGCAGCAGCAGCAGCAGCAGACGGCGCCGCTGGCAGTCAGTCGACGGCTGGCTAAGTGCATTTATATATAGCCAGCCTTAAAGGTGGTTTTGATGTTGGGAGTTTGGCTGGGCTGGCTGAGGGGGAAGCATGGCAACAGGCAGTTGGCAGTTGGCAGCTGGTAGCTGGTAGCTGCTGTTCCATCCTGTTGGCCGAGTTTTGCCTGCGACACCTCGTTAAAAGTAACGACACAGCGTGTGCGGTGCTGTGGTGTGGTGTGGTGGGGTGCGGTGCAGCCCACAAGGCGTCACTTCACACATTTTCAAACTTCTGTCTGCTTCAAGTCCCCGCCCTCTCTCTCTCTCTCTCTCTCTCTCTCTCTCTCTCTCTCTCTCTCACTCTCACTCTCTTCTTTTCCCTCAGCCTTCACACAGACGTCGCGACGCCTCGCGGCTGTGGCATGCTTTAAGTTTCCTCTACACACACACACGGACTTCGCCTGGCCTCGTTTTCTGGTAGGCGTGGCTGGACTACCCACTTGAGTTGGCATCTGCATAAACGCAACGTTTCCCTTTGACTCTGCTGTTATTGTTGTTGCTCCGGTAGCTTCTGTTATTATAGCTACAGCTGCTACAGCTTGTTGTGGTTGCTGCTGCTGCTGCTGCTGCCGCTGCTCCTGCCGCTGCTCCTGCTGCTGCTGCTGCTGCTACTGTCACGCATTCGAGTTGACAGCCCAGTTGCAACTCCATTTCGTCCTTTGTCCTTTGCCGGGCGCCCGGCGCCCGCAGGCAGCTTTAACAACTTAAATCCCAGCCAAGTTGACTTTGTTTTAAACGAGCTCAAACATTGCCAGCAATTCGCTGGAAAGCGGCTTAAAGACTTAGCCAAAGACCTCACGACACGGCACTCAACAATTGCAGCTAGTGCAATTAATATTGCCAACTTTGAACATTTATCCATTCGATTCTACACGCAGATATGATTTGTGATGGCGCCTTAATTAAAACTGAATAAAAAATAATAAATAAAGTTTGCAACTTTCGGGGCAACAATGGCGTGTGAACTAAGAACAATTCAACAAGCTTTAAGCTGCCTCCGAGCTGTGTGTGAAATGTTGCTTAAAAAGGTTCTGCTTTAATATATTGTAACCTTTCATGTGAATGAAATATTAAGGACTTTAATACCTCTTATGGTATAAGAGATGAGTGAGTCTTCAAGCTGAAAGTTTTCGGAACTACAGAAGAAGAAGAAGGAAAATACGAGACTCTCTTACTATAAACTTTAGATTTTTTTTTTAAAATGATATACAAGTGCTTAGGCCTACTTTAACTATATCTACATCCTTCTATTTCATACTCCTATCGCCTCTAATCAATTAAACTCTGCCATCAGCTTCCAAAGTCTTTCATTTTCTACCATTAGCCCCATTTGATTATATGAAGTCAATGCATTTAGGAATGATGCCATCTACTTTGGTATCTTAGATTGGCAACATGCATGCGCATGCAATTTCAAAATATAATTGGCCCACAATCAAATGTTTATCAAAAAAGCACAGTGCATATAGCATAGCAGAGCTGTTGAAATTGACTTCGAAAATTGTTGTCCAGCCATTAACATGAATGCAATTTTCATTCGAGTCGTTCAAATGTAAATTTTATGAAAGCATGAGACGTGCTTACATTGACTTTTTCCCTACATTTGACGTTGCTATTTCTAACAGGCGCTGCAGAGTTGCAGTTCATGACTAATAGCTGCCCTGTAATTTTAATGAAGATTTAGTATATTAAGAGAAATATATATATAGCAATAAAATTTGATAAAAATATTTTTCAAATTCTTTAGTAAATAAAAAAAAAAATTGTTTTTAATGTAAAGTATTTTGTTTTTTTTTATAAAGAAATTGTTATATAACTATTTTAGGATATATACAGCATAAAACACATATTATGTACCCATCAGTTTTAAGCACATCATTTTACCTAAACTCCATCCAAATATTCTATAGCTTAGCTGCTCGAACTACCCCCTAGCTCAGATTTTTTACAGGGCATAAGTTATCTAACAAGTCTCATGGTCGAGGGAGCGCCTGAATCAGCATTAGCCCAAGGGGAATATCCAGCTCTAATCTAGGTGAGATGCCCCACTCAGACCCTTAATGATAGCCCAGCCAACAGCTCAGAGCTCAGAGCGCAGAGCTCCGAGCTCCGAGCTCAGTGCGAATACTCACAGGATGTCCAGCGGCAATTTGACAGAACAATCGCGCAGTGTCGCCGCTGCTGATGCGGATGCGGATGCGGATGCCTGATGCTGATGCTGTTGATGTTGATGTTGATGATGCTGCTGTTGTCTCTGGTGGTATTGCTGGGCATGATGATGTTGCTGCAGCTGGTGTTGCTGCTGCTGCTGCTGCTGGTGTTGATTATGGCCATGATGTTGATGCTGCAACAGCTGCTGGTACTCGTGCGCCTGCTGATCCGCATCCGAATGATGCTGATGATGATGCTGCAATGGTTGCTGCTCGCTGTTGATGTTGCTGTTGCTGTTGCTGTTGCTGCTGCTGCTGCTGCTGCTACTGCTGCCAGTTGCTGCACGTCTCTTGGCGGCAGTCATCAGGCTGACGTTCAATGGAGCCAAAATTATTACCGCTGGCTGTTCGGAGGCGGCGACTAATTGGCCAGCTGCTGGCCGCACGTACGCGGCAGGAAGGCGCCCCAAACGTCTGTTCGCTGCTTTTGGGGTCGTTGCCTGGCTGCCAACGTTGCTGAGCCTCACCACTTGGCCTACCGCACCAGCAGCGGCTGATTTATGGCCACTGCCGCGTGGGCGTGGACGTGGGCTTACTTATATTCTGTCTCCTTTTTTATTTGGTGGAGCTCGCTTTTGTGCGCTTAATTAAATTCTCAGCCACTGCAGTTGCCGTTGCAATTTCTGTGGCAGCTCTCTTCGTTTCGCTTAAATTTTACTGAATTCGCTGATGAGAGCGCTGCATGCCTATGCATGCCTGCCATTTGAATATGGACTGATCATTAACATTGTTGCGTGTGTTGGCCCAGCAGCTGCCGTTGCTCTTGCCGTCCATTGCAGCCACGTCACCTGTAAAGAAAAGAGGGTCAGGGAAAATTAAACATTTTCAAATACCAATGCAGTCTATAATGAATGTATTTATGCAGTGACGAGTCTAAACTAATTATCATAAACACAATACCGATACTTAATAAAAAAAAAACCTGGCGAACTTTACTATTTAGTCGCGTTTACCGCTCGGATATGCACGCATCGAATTCAAGTCTCTTCAACATGTTCGAGTTGTGGCGAGCAGGCAAGGACTGCGGCAGACTTGCCACTCGGATATATACTTATCATATACTACCTCTATATAGATCCCTGGACAGCTGAGGTGTATTTGCTCAATTCGCCGTGGCCTGTGACTTGCCTCTGCACGGCATATTTATTATTTGTCTACAAAATCGGTCCAGAATTCATGAAGCATCGCAAGCCTTACAACTTGAGGAACATAATACTCATCTATAACATCTGTCAAATGATCTACAATGGATCGATCTTTCTTTTGGTAAGTATCGAAATCTCATCGATTTCCTGCAAATTCTACAATTTTTACATTTCCTTACAGGCTTTTTATTACCTATTAATCGATGGAACATACGATTTAAGTTGCATGCACACCCTTAGTCTAGACCATCCGAAGAAGTCGATAGAACGGTACATTACCTATATTTTCTTCATGAACAAGATATTCGATCTACTGGATACGATATTCTTTGTGCTGCGCAAGAGCTACAAACAGATCACGTTTCTGCATGTGTATCATCATGCCATGATGGTATATTTCATGTACTGGGTAGTAAGACTCTACGGCGCCGGTGGCCAATACTCAGTAATGGGAGTATGCAACACAGCTGTGCACTTTCTCATGTACTTTTACTACTTTAATGCGGGCCTGCGACCTAAAATGAAGATGAACTTGTGGTGGAAGAAGTACATAACTATCGCCCAAATTGTACAGTTTATGATATATTTAGTGCAAAGTATTGTAGTTCTCGTCTTTAACCCCAGCTGCCAGTTCCCCTTGTTTATGCAATGGCAGCAGATATTTCACTCATCCTCGATGATTTTCATGTTCGGCAATTTCTATTATCACGCGTATATTAAACCAAAGCAAAAAACTGAATAAACCTTTAGAAATAATGACGCAAAATCTCTTGCTTGTTTCTATTTTTATTCAATAGATAGTTTATGTGTGTGTGTGTGTTTGTTTGTTTTTTTTTTTTTTTTTTTTCCC